TGCTTTCTTACTTCCCTAATAAACCCAAATCTTACTCAAATATATAGATAATAATCTAGAACATTGAGATCACACGGTCTTAAGAAACTTATCTCGAAGTAATTCTATATCTTTGGTTTATGTCTGGCTTATTCAGAGAAGTCTCTGGTTTATCGTATAAATTAGCGATTTCACATATAAATACTACAGAAAATAATCTAGAAAAGTGAGATCACAAAATCTTCTGACTATCAAATAGTTCAATTTTTCTGGTTTATCCTATTAGATAAGCGATAGATCAGATAGTCCAGAGAAGTGAGTTTACAAAATCTTCTGAAACCTACTTCGAAGTAATTCATTGTCTTTGGTTTATCTAAGTAAGCGATTGCACATAAAAATATTAAAAATATACAGAGAAGAAAGATGGCAAGATCAAGGGGTCAATTCGCAGGACCAATGTTTTGCATTTTGTGTTGTTTTATCGAAACTGAAGTTGTTGGATGTTATGTATAAATGGATGTAGTCAATAAACATAACCTATAGCCCTTCCCATTGACAGTAGCGTTCCTAATGTCAGCGTTTTTTAAACAAAAATATGATAAAAATGGCACCAGCACGTTGCTCAGACCAAAGTAGACCCATGTTGTTACGACAAAACGTACTGAATATAAATCAGCTGTCAAGAGAAACAGTGCTGCCAACTTAAAAATTAGATTTCCAAGAAAATCCGCTCTTATTAATCGTAATACTATGTTAATTTTTTAATTTATATGTACATATTTTGTTTAAAACGTCTTTTCTAATTAAAATTTGCATGTACTATGACAAGAAATCTATTTCGAATAGAAAAGTGAGCAATAGATAACGTCTTTTTGCATTTTCAACAATTTGTTTGACGTATCAAAATTTGTTGAACATAAATAGTTTTGGTGAATTTATTTGTGACAGATTGCAACACTTTCAAGGCGTTTAGGAGTTACGATATGTAAAGTAGTCAGATAGAGTTATTATTTTCCACACAGAACTTGAATAATTCAATTTAATTTAACTTTCACAATGAGTTGCAGCACAAAACAATTTTCTTTGCTTGGAGCAAATAACATTTTCGACTTCCCGGAAATGCACATTTGTATGTGTGTTGGAAATGATATATATTCGTAAAATGTGTACTTTATTGAGTTACACATTGAAATTGTTACATAGCTAGGAGTACTTACACACACAGCAAAGACCTTTTTTGCCAAGCCCGACCAGCATATTCAGGCATAAGTTGCAATATGCCGGCTTACTGAAGTGCTTCAAACGCCACACATGGATGCCATCTTCCTTAAGAGCCGTATTGTCGATACCTGAAAGTAATGTCAAATATAAAAATAAAACGTATCCGAGTATTGTAATCCCAAACTAATATTATTCACATTGCGCGTATATGCTAAAATGGTATCATGCTGCGCTGGAGTTGGCCTATGCCTTTTTCGGGAGGTATTGAATTTAAAATTACCTTCGAAAATGATAAAGCGCGAATTTGCAAATGACTTTATTATAACAGACAATGTGAAAGTAACTGTCATTGCTTTTGAACTTACCGAGTAGGACGAGAAGCGGTATCGTTGTCAGGCCGCCACGTTGCCACTCTTCCAAGGAAACAGTGCCATCGGCATCATAGTCAATTTCTATCATCATCTCCTGCAAAATCTGTAAGCGGAGAAGTAAAATAAAATTACCAACGCATATATACACATAAAATTGATTAGGTCTTATATAAATATTTGCGTGTGCTGTGTGTTATAAGAGAAAAAAGACGAAGCTTGAGGGATTTCCATTAGGAATTCACAACGAAAATTCAAGTCCTCTCCTTATGAGTTTATATGGAAAATAGGTCTAAAGTGTGTGTGTTTGTTTGTGTACTCGTAAGTTTCTATGAAATTTAGTTATGCACAGTTATGAATTTTTAGTGAAATGTCAAAAACGCAGTGGGACAAAATAGGAGCAAAAAATTTGGATGTCTTGTTTGGTTGTCGTTAACAAGAATGAAAATAAAATTTAAACAAAACTATGCAAAAAGTAAAAATACAAGAAAAAACAAACAGTGTAGCAAGAATTTAATATATTTTTTTGTTAACAAGCTGAAAGTATATTATTTCATTAAGAATTTCAAAGGAATTTCAGCACAAAGGTAAACAAACAAGGCAGAAGTTACTTATGACTTGCGACAAACTTATAGTTCCAAGGACTTAGTGAGTTCCTTCTCGTATATTTTGAGGCTGACTACGAAATTATTTCATTTTTCCTTTCAGCTTTGATGCTTGCAATTAAAATTCGCGCACATGTGGATACACCAAACTGCTTCCTTTAGTTGGGAACTGACTAGGCTACAGGAACTTCTCAATTAGCAGGAGTCGAAAGTAAATTAGTGCATTTAAATATTTATGCTAAAAAATATTTTCGGAGTGTTAAAACTCTTTTCAGTGTTATGATTTGGTAAATATTTGTTATTGAGAGATCTACAATTAAAATGTGAACTAAATTATATAATTAATATAAAAAAATTTGTTATTATATCTAGAAAGGAGTTTTCATTAAAGAGTTTTCATTCAACGTATTTAAATTAATTTTCAATATAAAAAAAAATGTGATATTAAATCATTCGAGGAAATAGATCCTCGGAACTCATCAAAAGAGATTATTGCAAGGCGTACTGCAGTTCTTTCTGGTCATTGGTGTATAGAGCCCATGCAGAGAAACTCATAATCCTCACTGCAGAAGTTGTGAAAACCCGTAGAAAAAAGAAACCATAATACATTTTCTCTGTGAATGCTCGGTTTTCGTATCCAGAAGATATAGGTTCTTAGGAAAATACTTCTTTGATAGTTTATCAGACTGTTTTCATCGGTGAAGACGAAAGAAAGATCTAAATTCGGATGAATGGATTTACTCTTCTATACTAGTGTTCTTGCGAGGAATGTGGTAGTAAATGACAAAAAAATCACGAATTGAGGTATATGTGAGTTATCTAATGGCTTGCCACTGTGACCTACCAACCAACCAAATCATACGACGCGGCCAAGGACGACTCACATGTGTAATGGCCAACTTAAATCAAGACAGATAATTATACCATATAACAAAGACATATTCCGAGACATGTCTTCTGGCCAGAAATAGAAAGATAACAGACCAGAAATAGAAAGGGTGAGAAATACCATGTCTCGTATCGAATGTTGAACAATGACACTACTAAAATTCTTGCTATAATATGTAATATAGAAGATACTACCCAAATAAAAATGAAATAATGATCATCTATATGGTTACTCTATGACCAATAGTTATTTTTTACTGCTAATTATATATCCCATTAATTCTATATAGTTGAATTATAGTGTCATTGTCAGGAGCATATTTTAGCAATTTACTGTCAAATTTCTAGTAAGTGATATCAAAAGGTATCTCGATCGAAAATGGTTTATTGAGTTTAGACTCTAATTCAATATAGTCATAAATCAAAGATGAGTTAGTTGATTTATAACGAATGTTTAGGGCATTACATTTATTGTTAAGTTTTCATTGAAAGACATCTAGCAGTCGGAAGGTGTCTTAATTGAATAAGGTGTATTGAGTATTGGCGATCGTCTATAATAATGAGAAATGTAAGATAAATAAAAAAATATATTAGCCACTTCTGTAGTGATATTTGTATACATATGTGAAATATAAATGATATAACAGTAAATATATGTAATATATTTATTCTATAAGAATTAAGCTGAATTTGATTAATATTTTTTCGCGATATCTCCAAACGCGATGTTGAAAAGTTTTAAATTTCACTTCTTTGAGTTCTCGATAACAGCTGTATAGCAGGTATTTGTAGGTACTCCTTAGAGAGATCGCCTAAATACTATATCTCGAAACAAATTCGAGTACAAAAATTGTCCAAGAAGATTTTAATCCCTCATCATTGAAAGATGTACAAAGAATTATGTATGTAAAATTCTGAAGTCAGGTTTTATACTCAAACAGCTTAGCAAGAT